AGACTATTTGAGAGAGAGAGAGAGCATGAGCTGGGGGGGAGGGGCAGAGGGAGAAGCAGACTCCCCATTGAGCAGGGAGCCCGATATGGGGCTTGGTCACAGGACTCCAGGACCCCTAAGATCATGACCTGAGCCGAAAGCAGGTGCTCAACCCACCAACCACCCAGGTGCCCCTGTGTATTACTTTTATTTTTACTGTATCATGTCTTTAATTTTTGTCATTGTATTTTGTTTTCATTTTACTTATTTTGGGGTTAGATAATACTCAACACATGAATCAAGATTCAGAAAGTACAAAAGGTCAAACTGCCAAAATTCTCCCTCCCACTCCTATTCCCACCCCTATTCCCAGTTTCCCAGTTCCTCTCCCTATCCTAGAAATATTTTATGTAACTACAACCAAGTAATGTTGGTTGTACATGCACACCTGAGTGGTGTGGTATCCCCCTCTATAACACACATTTTAGCTTTCTTTACATGCTATTTCACATCTTAAATTTTTCATACAACAATAGATTTTGAAGAATATATCAGTGCATAAAGAGCTGCGTGTGTGTGTGTGTATTTAATAACTTCCTAGTGTTCAGTTTATGGATGTACCATACTTTATTTAACCATTCCCCTATTGGTGGATAATAAGATGGTTTTTGGTGGTGCCTGGGTGGCTCAGTCGTTAAGCATCTGCCTTCAGCTCAGGTCATGATCCCAGGGTCCTGGGATCAAGTCCCTCATCAGGTTCCTTGCTCAGCAGGGAGACTGCTTCTCCCTCTCTCTCTGTCTGCCATTCCCCCTGCTTATGTTCTCTGTCTCTGTCAAATAAATAAATAAAATCTTAAAAAAAATGATGGTTTTCAGTCTTTTGCTATTATATAGCATGCTGCAATGTGCATGTATCATTGCACACCTGTGTGGGTGGGTCAAAAAGGAGATGATTTATAATTCTGATATATATTGCCAAATGCTCTCCATTAAAGACATTCCTACAGCAATGTGAGAGTATTTGCATATATTCTTTTATAACTAAAACAATAGTTTTATTTTTTTTAAGATTTTATTTATTTGACAGAGAGAGAGAGAGTGGGAGAGAGAACACAAGTAGGCAGAGTGGCAGGCAGAGGGAGAAGCACGCTCCCCGCTGAGCAGGGAGCCTGATGCAGGATTCGATCCCAGGACCCTGGGATCATGACCTGAGCTGAAGGCAGACACTTAACCAACTGAGCCACCCAGGTGCCCCTAAAACAATAATTTTATTTTTTTATTTATTTTTTTAAAGATTTTATTTATTTGTTCATGAGAGAGAGAGGGAGAGAGAGAGAGAGAAGCAGAGGGAGAAGCAGGCTCCTAAGGAGCAGGGAGCCCGATGCAGGACTCGATCCCAGGACCCTGGGATCATGCCCTGAGCCGAAGGCAGACGCTTAACCATCTGAGCCACCCAGGCGCCCTAAAACAATAGTTTCAAAAACTTATAATTCAGAAGAGATTACTGAGGAATTACTTCTGCTTAAAACCAGCAGGATTAAAAAGGACAAAAATATTATTACTGATAGCCATATTGTTATTACCACTTGTTATTACCACTGTTCCATCCCCATTGCCCCTCTGCTGATTTTCCTTGGAGTCCCAGGAACAAAAATAATGTAGAGGAAGGGGGGCACCTTGTTATTTTAAAAACCAGGCACCAGATCTCCTCTTAACAAAGAAATTCTGTGATTGGTGTATTAGTTTGCTAGTGCTGTCATAATAAAGTACTATAGATTGGGTCGCTTGAACAACAGAAATGTGTTTTTTCACCGTTCTAGAAGCCAGAAGTGTGAGACGAAGGTGGCAGCAGGGCTGATTTTGTCTGAGGCCCCCTCCACGGCTTGCAAATGGCTGTCTTCTCCCTTTGTCTTCACATGTTCTATCCTGTCTACTTATCTGTGTCCAAATCCCCACTTCTTGCAAGGACATCAATCATACTGGATGAAGTTCTACCCTAATGACATCATTTTAACTTAATTACCATTTCATTTTTTTTTAAAGATATTATTTATTTATTTGACAGAGAGAGAGAGAGCACAAACAGGGAACAGCAGGCAGAGGGAGAAACAGACTCCGCACTGAGCAGGGAGCCTGATGCGGGGCTCGATCCCAGGACCCTGGGATCATGACCTGAGCCGAAGGCAGACGCCTAGCCATCTGAGCCACCCAGGCGCCCCTTAATTACTTTTTAAAGATCCTATCTCCAAACACAGTCACATTGTGATATAGTAGGGAATAGGCCTTCAACATATGAATTTAGGGGGGACATAACTCAGTCCATAACAGTGAGCATTAACCTCATTAAGTATGAGAAGTGGAGTCCCACAGTTGCTCCTCAGCCTTTCTTTCTCATGCAGTCTATTATTTAAGGAGTGAAAGAATTAGAGTTGTGTCCAGGAATATATAGTAAAGGGACACAGAGGGATGGCCAGATGAGCCATAACAATTAATTCATTGGAAGCAAAAGCAAGGGATCAAAAATGACTAGGACTGCTATAAACCCCAATTAATATTTTAGGTCACAGAGAGGAACTTAGATTTTCCCCTTAGACCCAGGAAGGAGATGAGAGCCCATTTTTGTTTAAACCTTAATGGACATAGTGATGACCCCAGCAAGCACCAATGGCTTTAAAAAGAGAAGATTTTATTTCTAGATCACCTAACAGTCCAGCCATTGGTTGGAGGTGTGGATTGTTAGTGACTTTGGGGTCATTAACAAGTGGAAGGTGGAGGAGGGAGAGCGTGCACTGAATACTCTTTAGATCCACCCAGAATGAACTAAACAGGGCAACTTCTGCACAAGCAGTTTGGGTAGATAGTGGAGCAGAAGCTAGGGACTCACATTCACAAATATTTTTTCAATCTAATTATTGAGCATAAAATTGGGATGATTGAAGCATAACGGAGCAGTGAGGGAGTGAAGTCCATGAATGCAGACAATGCCAGAATGAATAAGTGAAATGACATTTTAAAAATGAAATAACATTTATTGGGCATTTATGTAAGCAAGGTTCACACCCCCCCATTCAGTTATCATAATACCACCATGACATAGTAACAAAGATACTCTTCACCGAACTCTAGCCACACTCCTCTGAGTCTCACCAAACTCTAGCCACACCCCTCTTCTAGGCCTCAACCTTGACCTACAAAGACTTAAACACTAATATAGTTTCTAGCAACTCCAGGCTACATTCCTAAGATGACCCTAGCCCCCCTTAAAGTGCCTGCATGAGAAATATAAGCCAGCTATAGACATTAATAAAGAGAAACTGTGAGTATATTGGTGTTGATTTTCCCTGTAAAACAGAACCAAACAAAACATTAAGTTATCAAAAAAAAAAAGAGAGAGAGAGAGAAACCTTACTAAAATGCAGTCAGGAGGCTGGAAGGCTGAGCTCAGGTGCCATACCACTGGACGTCAATCACAGGAAGAATTGTCAATTATAGAGCCATCAAGAGAGGATGTACATTGTATCTCCTTCAAGAAATCCAGTAGGTCAGCAGCTCAGCGGATGAGAAACCCTGTCACCCTGAACTCTTGCTTTTCTCCAGTGGGTTTTGGTTTCAAAACAACCCCTCCCAACTTCTCTCCTCTGTTGGACTAATCTATGGTTGTATCCTGTGGCTTGTTTGTCTCAAATTGCAATTCTCTGCTATTCCCAAATAAACCTATTTTTGCTGGTAAAATAACTTTTATTTTTAAGGTCAACACTGCCAAAAGAATTTACTGCTTGTTCCAGCCAACACCTGAAGACAACCCCCCCAACCCAAACCTCCACCCCGTCTCTGTGGGAGCCTAAATTTTGGATAAGCCTCCCTTAACTGACCCAGGCAGGTTACACTTGGCCAAACGCGTTCCATGATTTTTGTAATTTTTCACTTCCCTGATTCTATTATACAGGCCCGGTTCACCCACCTCCATATTCCCTTCTTCTCCCTTTAAAACTCTCAGCCCCCTCTGTACAAATGGAAGTTTGAGCTCCTTTGGTTTAGCATCTGCCTTCCGCTCAGATCAAGATCCAGGATCAAGCCCTGCCTCGGGCCCTCTGCTCAGGAGGGGAGGCTGCTTCTCCCTCTCCCTCTGCCTGTTCTCTGCCTATTTGTCTCTCTGTCTCTCTCTCTGTGTGTGTCAAGTAAATTTAAAAAATCTTAAAAAAAAAGTTCGGGTTCAGTTCACACTGGATAGTCCCTTTTGCCATAGTATATTTTATATTACTGAGTAAAACCCATAACCAGCCTCCCCCCTTTTTAAAAATTTTTTATTGTTATGTTAATCACCATATTACATCATTAGTTTTTGATGTAGTGTTCCATGATTCATTGTTTGTGCATAACACCCAGTGCTCCATGCAGAATGTGCCCTCTTTAATACCCATCACCAGGCTAACCCATCCCCCTACCCTCCTCCCCTCTAGAACCCTGTTTGTTTTTCAGAGTCCATGTCTCTCATGGTTCGTCACCGCCTCTGACTTACTCCCCCTTCATTCTTCCCTCCTGCTATCTTCTTTTTCTTTTTTCTTAACATATGTTGCATTATTTGTTTCAGAAGTACAGTTCTGTGATTCAACAGTCTTGCACAATTCACAGCGCTCACCATAGCACATACCGTACCCAGTGTCTATCACCCAGCCACCCCATCCCTTCCACCCCCCACCACTCCAGCAACACTCAGTTTGTTTCCTGAGATTAAGAATTCCTCATATCAGTGAGGTCATATGATACATGTCTTTCTCTGATTGACTTATTTCACTCAGCATAACACCCTCCAGTTCCATCCATGTCGTTGCAAATCCAGCCTCCCCCTTTATCTTTGACAGTAGTCACTATTAGGATCCCCGCTTTACTGATGACAACACTGACACTTAAAGAGGTTGACATCCTTGCCCGCAGTCGCTCAGCGGAGCTGGTTGGGCTTCGCCTAGCCAGGGCTCCAAGTCTCCAAAAGGCGAGAGGCGTAGAGAACCGCTTTGGGCTCTGCGCCGGGAGGTGGAGCAGTTGAGAAAACCGGCGGCCCAGCTGTGAGCTTTCCCCGGCAGTGGACGGAGTAGTGGAGGGGCTCTTGGCACCTCCCCAGCCTGCGCCCAGATGCTGCGCGCCCTGACCAGCACCCTGCGCCTTCCACGCCCCTGGAGGCCCCTTCGCACCCGCAGCTGCGCCTCCCACGGAGCTACCGGAGACCCGGAGATCCAAGTGCGCGCCCTGACCGGCCGCGACCAAGGTATAAGTGCGCTGTCCTGGGGAGCGCCCAGGAGGCGCGGGAGCCATGGCCAGCGCGCCCACGACACGCGGGAAGACAGACCAGTAACGGGAAGGCGGGCCGCTCGCGGCCTTTGAGGATTTGATCCCCTGCTGCGGTTTCCCAATCAAGGCTCCCCAAGCCTTTCGTAAGGCCGGGGAGGTGGGTGACCACCTTGCCAGCCGCCCCGACCCCTAATTGCGGTGGGACTCTACGTCAACCAAAGTCCCTTCAGTCCCCCATTCGGTGGCCTGGGGCTGTGAAGGAGGGGAGGTGAACTCGCGCAGGGATAGGACGAGGCACCAGCGACCCACCGCTTCCACCCCAGTAACTTTAAAAGGCCAGTTGTCCGTCCCGGCCTAGAGTCCTGGCTGGGTTCCAGGGGGCAGGCGGCGGAGCCAATCCCGCTGGCCAGGCAGGGCGGAGTAGGGGGGAGAGGAGAGCAGAGGATGGGGCGTCAGCGGCGCACGGCTCCTTGCGCTCTGGCCCTGCCCACGCTGGCCGACTTTTGTGCCTTTTTGAGTCAAAGAGGAAGTTCCCGCTGGTCCCTGGTGACGTGGTTTGGAGCCTATGGCCAAGAAAGAATTCTGGATGCGAATTCGGTGCAAAAAGTGGTTTTATTAAAGCGCAGGGACAGGACCCGCGGACAGAAAGTGCCCTGGGGTTGTGAGGAGTGACTGATTATATAAGATTTTCTGTCCTATGGAGGGGTGGGTAATGTTAGGGCTCCAGGAATCTATACGTTTCTGGAGATTGCTTTTTTTTTTGGAAATCATTAAGACAGTTGCAAACTGCTGGAGACTCAAGTCCTGCGGGACTGTGATCCCTATCAGTTAACCATTTTTTTTTCCCCTTTCCTTTGTGCTGGGGCGGCCAGAAGTCCCTGAGGAATGTCACACATATTCCACCTGGGCCGGCGGGGGTTAAGGGGGAGGCTGCCGCGTGTTAGCTTGTGCTTTGCCCTCAGCTTGCCTTCTGCTCCCTCAGCAGAAAATATTTTTCGATTGCACCTGTTCTGTTGTTTTTTGGGGGGTGAGAGGAGACCAAAGTGCATTCAGTGGCGTTACTCACACGCCTCAGTCCGCTGCCTGTTACCATCAGGGCAAAGCCATTTTCTTGGCTTTACTTTCTCCCCAATCCCAACCCCTCTCCCTAAATTTGATGTAACATAGTTTGTGTTTTAATTTACATAGTTTTTTTTAAGATTTTATTTATTTATTTATTTGAGAGAGAGAGCGAGAGAGAGAGAGAGAGAAACAGCATGAGAGGGGATAGGGTCAGAGGGAGAAGCAGGCTCCCCAGTGAGCTGGGAGCCCGATGTGGGACTCGATCCCAGGACTCCGAGATCATGACCTGAGCCGAAGGCAGTCGCTTAACCAACTGAGCCAAAGTACATAGATGGTGTCCTACTATACATCTTCTATTTATTTCTTCCTTTTTTCCCTGCTTGAGTCTAAGGTTTTTTTGTTTTGTTTTTGTTTGTTTTGACAACGGAGAGAAGTTTATTTTTTTAAAGATTTTATTTATTTATTTGACAGAGAGAGACACAGCGAGAGAGGGAACACAAAGTGGGGAGTGGGAGAGGGAGAAACAGGCTTCCCATGAGCAGGAAGCCTGATGTGGGACTCGATCCCAGGACTCCTGGATCATGACCTGGGCCGAAGGCAGACGCTTAACGACTGAGCCACCCAGGCGCCCCTGGAGAGAAGTTTATTAAGTGAAGATACAGAAAAAGCTCTCTATTGACTTTCGGGGAGCAAGAATTTTCTGTCCCCTTCAAGATCTTTCTAGCTGGACTAAATTGACATGAGAATTCACACAGGAGAAAATAAAATTTAATTTTGTGTGTACAGGGAATTCACACAGAATGGAAATTCCAAAAACAGGCAAAATGAGATATATATGTCACTCTTATAAACTAAGAAGAAGAGGGTAGGGGTCTGGGACTTCAGAGGGAGGGAATGCAATTCACAGGAATCTAAAAGGAGTAAATGTTTGGTAAACAAATGTTTGCTGGACCACCCAGAAACAATAGGACATAGAGAACTTTGATCAAACAGGCCATGGAGTGCCTTGGGTGGCACAGTCAGTTAAGGAGTTAAACTTCTGAGTCTTGGTTTCAGCTCAGGCTCCGCACTCAGCAAGGAGTCTGCTTAAGACTTTCTCTCCCTCTCCCTCTGCCCCTCCCCCCTGCTTGCTCTCCAGAGCTCTCCCTCTCAAATAAATAAATCTTTTTATCTTATTACTTCTAAAATCTTTTTTAAAAAGATTTCATTTATTTGAGAGAGTGAGCACGAGTGGGGGAAGAAGCAGAAGAGGGAGAGGGAGCAGACTCCTTATTGAGCAGGGAGCCCGACTCCAGCTGAATCCCAGGACCCTGAGACCATGACCTGAGCCGAAGCCAGACGCTTAACCAACTGGCCACTCAGATGCCCCTCAAGCAAATAAATCTTAAAAAACAAACAAACAAACAAACAACAGATCTTGCTAGGTTCCTCCCGGTCTACCATACCTAGTTCATAGTAATGTAGTTATCTGTGGTGATAGCTCTCTTCCCGGATCAGATCCTCTATCTAAATTCTTTTTAGGCAGTTGTGGGGGAGGTAAAGAGCTTTTCCTGAGTCTCCTGGGTTTGATTGCTTTTTAACTCAAATAATCTTCATGCCAAAGTGACCCAAAGCAGCCTGCCCATGGCCCCTACAACTCCCACCTACATTACATAACTAGCCTGTGATTTAGGCCATCCAGACATAAGTGACCCGAGGTTAGCTGCTAAGGAAATTATTAGCCAGTGGCATGGTGGGTTTGGTAAGAGTGGAGATGGTGTGGTACAGACCTATCCCCACTGCAGAGGTCCTGTAAGGGCAATGTTCTCAGAATCAGGGCTCAAGTAAAAACTTAAGGACCATGGCTGAGTCCTCTCTTATTTCTCCAGGACCTGACATGGAATAGTGCAAATTGAATGAAAGCCAAAGACGCCCTGTCTGGCTCCTCACAGCACCCAGCTTTAAATTCTTTCCTTCTATTGAACCCTGGAATTTTCCCTAGCATCTATGCCCTTTTCCTGCTCACTGTACCCACAAACTCTGGCTAAGCACTTATGGGAAATTATCTTTTTTCCCTTTTTTTTTTTAGATTTTATTTTTAAGTACTCTGTACACCCAGTGTGGGGTTTGAACTTACAACCTCAAGATTAAGTAAGAGTCCCATGCTTTACCAACTGAGCCAGCTAGGTGTTATTTCTTTAAAGGCATTATTTCTTTAAATCCTCATAACAGCCTTTTTATTGTTTCTATTTATGGATCAGGAAATTGAAGGCCAGAAGAGTAAAGCAACTTGCCCAAGGCCAATGGCTAAGCTGTGACTTGAGCCAAGTACCCTTTGTATTCTGCAGGGAGGAGATAAAGATGGAGAGAACAGATAGAGATGAAATATGGGAGACAGCCAGAAAGAAAGGAGACAGAACAGGAAAGTGAAGAGGAGAGAGGAAAGTTTCTATCAGTCTCAGAACGTCATGACCATGATAGTTTTCTATTGCCACATAATTACCACAAACTTTATTGCTTAAAATAATACACATTTATTATCTTATAGCTTCTGTAGGTGAGAAGTCCAAGCTAAATTTAGCCGGGTTCTCTGCTTCAGGGTTTTACTGAGCTGCAATCCAGGAGTTGGCCAGGGCTGTGGTCTCATCATAGGCTTGACTGAGGAGAGATCTGCTTCCAAGCTTCTCCTCTTGATAGAATTCACCTCCTATGGTTGTAGGACTGAAGCCCTGTTTTCTTCCTCTTGGCCTGGGGGCCATTTTCAGCTCCTGGGGGCTGCCTCTAGTTCCTTGCCACATGACCCTCTCTGTAGGCCACTAGTTTGTCTAGTGTACCCTAGCAAGACAGAGTCTTACATACATTGTACCCTAATCATGGAACTAATACCTCACCACCTCTGCCATATAATTGAACCCCAATCTTGGAAGTGACATTTTATGATCTTAGCTGCATTCTGTTGGTTAGAAGCAATTCTCCTGCCCACACTCCAGGGAAGATTATTGAGGATATGAAGATTGGGCCCAGTCTAGGGTCTGTCTGCCACAAAGACCTTGGACCTCTACACTCTGACATGGTTTTTCTCTATCTACCAGAGTTTCCCTTCCCCAAAGTTGCAGCATTTTCTTTTCTGGAGCACTAGAGCTGGAGAAGACCTTGGGCACATCTGCGTTCTGTGAGACCTCCAGGCCTGCTGGGCTCAAAGAACTTTTTGAAGGTTTCTAGGGAGGCTAAGGAACCCACCTAGTCTGAATGTTACGGTCTTCTGTCCTGAACCACAGTTCTCTAACTCCTGGCTGGAAACTCTGTCCCTTGAGAGCCCTGAAACTTTCATTGTCCCTTCCCTGTGTCACAAATCAACTCACACTGAGAATGCCATCTTAATAAATACTGCTTATTCCACAGACAAAGCTAAGAACCCTGGGATAAAATAATAAGAGGCCTTTGAAGGCTAAAGGATTGGTAAACACGGGAGGGAAAAGAGCCAAGAAGGTTGAGTATTTGAGCCCTTGCCCAGAGCCAGTCTCTCTTCCCTACAACTGGCCCATATTGTGGGGGTGAGTTGAGGCTAGAGTGGGAAGCAATGGCCAGATTGGGGAAAGGGGGCATCTTTTGGGTGGTATTAAGGAATTTGACTTAATTTTGGTGAAAAGAGAAAGGGAGGGACATGGCTGGATTTGGGTTAGAAAGAGGATTCGGACCCAAATGACGGAATGAATGTGGAGTGAGGTAGGATGAGCAAGACTGAAGGCAAGAGGGCCAGTTGGGTGATTCATGTAGTAGAAGAGAGCCCTTACCAGGTGACTGGCTGCAGAGAGGGATATTAGCCAAAAGATCTGAGATCTATTTTAGAGGCTGAATTGGTCACGGAGAATGAGTAAATTTCACGGGGGAGGAAGAGGGAGCAACGGGACAGACTCCCGGGCTGAGAGAGCACCTGCTCACAAAGGTGCAGGACAAAGACCGATCCGTGGGGTGTACAAGCTCTTCCGGTTCTGTGAGGCAGAAAGAATAAGGGGTTATTCTCTCCATTTTATAGTCAGGGAAACTGAAGCCTGGGTGTGTGTGACTTGCCTGAAGTCATGGTGCTCATGAAGGGCAGAGGTTGCCCAGAACCCCGGCTGCAGGCCTACTGGCTCACCCAAGGCTGCCCTGTCACCTGCAGGAATCACTGAGATTCTGATGAATAGACCAAGTGCCCGCAACGCCCTGGGGAACATCTTGGTCAGCGAGGTGAGAAAGGGCAGACCCCGGAGCGGGTGCGGGGGTGCTGGGCCGGCGCTGGGCTGGGAGGCTTCTGACAAGGTCTCCTCTGCAGCTGCTGGAAGCTCTGGCCCAGCTACGGGAGGACCAGCAAGTGCGTGTTCTGCTATTCAGAAGTGGAGTGAAGGGTGTGTTCTGTGCAGGTGGGTTTCCTCCCCTGCCCCTATCCCAGGGCTCAGCAAGATACCCCCAGCCTACAGGAGGTTGGGGGCTTAGGTCAGCTCTCGCATAGGACGTACTATTCCCATTTTACAGATGTGAACTCAAATACTCAGACATAAAATTCCTTGCCTAGTGTTACACAGCTAGTAAGAGGCAGAATAGAATTTTAACTTGGCACCTCTGACCCCCAAATCCTTATTCTTTCTGCTACACTATGCTCTGTTCTGACCCTTCATTGAGGAAATGAGGAAACTGAGTCCAGCGACATTCACAAGGTCCGTGGCCAAGATGGGACTCTGTGCCCCTTTGCCCACCCACAAGATCTCAGTCCCTGTCACCATAGCTCTCCACCGCCCCTGGACAATTTGGTCCTCACAAGAGGACAAGCACCATGAACTTCTGTTTCAAAGACAAGAAACGTCCCATCCCCACAACAAGAAGCAAGTGAGTGAGAGGTATGCTGGGCTGAGCTAAGCACCCACGCTGGGTGATTGGGGAAGGGACAGCAGTGGTAAATGGGGAGGTGGGAAGAGGCCATGGGGCACTGTAGGAGGTCTAGGTCTGTCCCTGACTTGCTCTGGAATCCTGGGATCGCCCCTACTCCTCTCTGGCCCTCAGTTTCTCCATCTGTCATTGAGGGGTTGGAACTAATCAAAGACTTGCTAGGGCTCCCAGCTCTGACTTCCTAATCTCAGACTTGGAGAGAATATATTCACCCCCTACTCCTACCTCCAGCCCCCTGCCATCTGGTCTTAGATGACACTACTCTCACCAAGGTCCTTGCCCACCTCCATGCCACTGGGTCCTGCCCCTTGCTTCTCAGCTCTCATCTTACCTGACTGCTCAGCCTCCTTGGACCACACTGACCCCTCCTGTTAAAAAATAATGTCAGCTATTTCTCAATAAAACTGGAAAGAAATAATACATTTTAAATATTATTTTATACATTTAAAATTGTGGTAAATATATACAGTACACAGTTTACATTTTAACCATTTTTAAGTATAAAATTAAGTGACACTGAGTACATTCACAAGGCCGTGCAACTATCACCACTGTCCAGTTCCAGAAATTTTTCATCATCCCAAACAAATCCTGTACTCATTAAGCAATCTCTCCCCATTCCTCCTCCCCCAACCAGCCCCTGATAATCTCTGTTGTACTTTCTATCTCAATCAATTTGCCTATCCTAGGTACCTCATACAAGTGGAAGCATGCATTTGTCCTTTTGGGTCTGGGTTCTTTTACTTAGCATAACGTCCTCAAGGTTCATCCATAGTGTAGCATGGCAGGACTTCATTCCTTTTTATGGCTGAACCATATTCCATTGTATATATACTACATTCTGTTTATCTTATCTTTTTTTTTAAGATTTTATTTATTTGTCAGAGAGAGCACAAGCAGGGGGAGCGAAAGGCAGAGGGAGAAGCAGGCTCCCTGCTGAGCAAAGAGCCTGATGTGGGGCTCGATCCCAACACCCTGGGATCATGACCTGAGCCAAAGGCAGATGCTTAACCAACTGAGCCACCCAGGTGCCCCTTGTTTATCTACGTTGATGGGCACCGGGTTGTTTACACCTTTTGGCTATTGTGAATAATGCTGCTATGAATCACAGCAGGCAAGTCTCTGAGTCTTTGCTTTTAATTCTTTTAGGAGTGTAACTGCTGCATATAGTAATTCTACGTATAACTTTTTGAGGACCCACCCGAGTGTTTCCCTTAGCAGCTGCATCATTTCCCGTTCCCACCAGCAACATATCAGGGTCCTCCACACCCATGCCAGCACTTGTTTTCTGCCTCTGTTATTGTTGTTTATAATAACCATCCTAAAGGGTGTGAAGCTGGTTTCTCATTGTGGATTTGACTTGCATTTCCCTAATGACTAATGATGTTGAGCATCGTTTCTTGTGCTTATTGACCATCTGTCTGCATCTTCTTTGCAGAAATGTCTATTCAAGTCCCTTGTCCTTTGTGGTTTTTGTTGTTGAGTTCAAGTTCTTTATGTATCCTAGATTATTACTACCTTACCAGATATGCGATTTGCTAGTATTTTCTTCCATTCTGTGGGTTGTCTTTTCACTCTCTTGATAGTGTCCCTTGATGCACAAAATTTTTAATTCTGATGTCCAACTTACCTTTTTGTTGTTGTTGCACCTGTCCTTTTTTGACACAAAACCCCCTTTTCCTCCCTGGCTTCCTTGACCATGCTTTCCTGATGTTTCACCTTCCTGTCTGGCTGCTTCTCCTCAAGTTTCTTGGATGGATCCTTCAACAGCCTGGGATTCAGTAATGGGTCATGTCACAAAGGCTGTCACCAACCCCTCACCATCTGCAGGTGCAGACCTGAAGGAGCGGGAGCAGATGAGTGAGGCAGAAGTGGGGATCTTTGTCCAGCGGCTCCGAGGCCTGATGAATGAGATTGGTGAGGTTCTTGCAGTGGGTTGGAGGAGGGCATTCCATAGGAGTCAAATTTCACCAAGCATGCTTTCAGGCTTTGACAATTACTGTTCTTTTTGCCTGGAATTTCCCTCCTTGGCCACCTGAACTTTTTACTCATCCTTTAAGACCACCAGGAAGCTTTATCTCTAAACTTTATCAGAGCACTGATCACCCTGGGTCATCATTGCCTGTTTATAGGTCTGCCTTCCCCATGTCTATTCAGTTCTATGTTCCCAGCCCACCGAGTATAGGGCTTGACACAGAACAGAAAGGGTGGTCCCAGGGAGGCCAACAGGAAAGTGGGTTTGAGCGGGGGTCACCTAGCCCATCTCCCCACTCTAGTACCCCGGCTGATTCCCCAACTTTCCCCAATAGGAAAACCTACTTCTAAGATAACCTGGCTGAGGTACCAGGTGAGGCTCCAAACCTGGGACCAATGAGGCCATTGCCCCTCCCTAGCCTTGAGTCCCTGTCCTGGTCCTGCCAGGGCCGTGCAGGCTGAGCCCTTCTTCATCTCCACAGCAGCCTTCCCTGCGCCCACCATCGCAGCTATGGACGGGTTTGCCTTGGGCGGAGGCCTGGAACTCGCCCTGGCCTGTGACCTCCGAGTGGCAGGTACTGGGCAGGAGGGGAGGTGGGGTAGGGTGAGGAGGCAAGCGTAAGTAAAACAGAGTAAGTCTGGGTGTTCTGCAAAGTGAGCCACTACTCTGGGCTTTCCAAACAGCAGCAAAACTAGAGAAAGGTGACGTGGGAGATCCAGAGAGTTTGGGTGTAAGCTGGCTCCCCTCCTGGCCCAGCCATCGACCACTGTAGCACCTGTCACCTCTCAGAACCAGCCTCCCTCATCTCAGGAATGCTTCTACCAACCCCAGAGCAACTGGCTAGAGAACAAAAAGAGGACAGAGAGGGGAGACTGAGGACAAAGATTAATTGTTCAACTTTCCAGTTCTATGCAAGCCAATTCTGTTGTGTCATGTTTTGCAAAAAGACAGTCACAGGGGCAGTTTGTCACCAGTCCAGCTACTCACAAACATACCTGGGCAGGAACATTGCCTTCTGGTTCACTGTGGCACCAGCCAAGGTTTGCATTACTTGTTCAGAGCAGTTGAGTTTTGAAGAGTGGAGGGAGGGGAAGAAAATAATTAATTGCCCTTCTAGGAGGCAGTTAGAAAAAGTCCGAGTGCTATCTGGTGCCACTCTCTTCACTTCCCCTTGCTGCTTTCTCTTGCCACTCCAGGTAGAACATTTAGAAATATGTACCTCCAGGCATAGAGGTAGCTTCTATCTACATGAGAAGGCATCAAAATACCAAGTCAGGTGATGCTCCAACTTGCTTCTCAGGGGCCCATGTTTAGGGCAACTAACTTGCAGGGTTTTGGTAGGTAGCGGAGAGAATATAAAACCCTTATAGGCAGGAGTAATGGCCATTCCCTGCGGCCACACTGTATGGTTCAGATGGCCTGTGAGGGGATTCAGGAGAAGCCTGTGGGGTGGGATGCTCCAGGAGAGCTCCTTAGAGGACACAGAACTCGGAAGGAGATGTGGACTGGAACTCAGGGAAACACAGGCTGGTGAAAAGCTGAGGGAGTAACTGGTAGGAGCAGGAGCAAGGGTCCAGTGAGACAGAGAATCCATTACCCCACTAACAGGCACTGGGCAACTTCCAAGAATCCCTTGTTACAAGCACCATTACCTCATTTGATCCTTAGCAGCTCTCTGATGAAGGCAGGAGAGGGGTAACACTATTTTTTCCACCTGTGAATGAGGCTCAGGGTGAGATTGGCCTGGATGCATACCTCCACCCCTGGGAAGTAGATGAGGGCCTGAGCCTCCTGACTTCCGTGCGAGGGCTCTTCCCAAGGCAGAGTCTGGAGAGGTCTGTTGTGGCCAGCTCATGAAGTGGTTGGCTGGAGGGCTGAGCAGAGCCTAGAGGCAGATGTCTCTTCCCTCTGGGGACTGGCACTGCAGGATAGTGTGGGTGCTTCACTCTGTTCTGTTTAAGCAGCTTCCTCAGCTGTCATGGGGCTGATCGAGACTACCCGAGGCCTCCTCCCCGGAGCAGGTAACTGTACCCACTGCACCCATCCTTCTCTTATTTAATCCCACTCTCTCCAGGTTACTTCCCTGCTTTCCTCTTTTGCCTTGTGCTCTGGGCTCTGCCCTTCCATCCTCACTCAGAATCTGCTCCTCTGAGAAATCTTGGTTGACTCCCAAACTGGGCTTCTCTGGGCTCCCACTTCCCATGTGGATTTACTAACCCTGCTCCATCCCGGCAGGAGGGACTCAGAGGCTGCCTCGATGCCTGGGGGCGGCCCTGGCAAAGGAGCTCATCTTCACAGGCCGAAGACTGAGTGGTGCACAGGCCCAAGCCCTGGGGCTGGTGAACCACGTTGTTTCCCAGAATGAGGAGGGCAACGCCGCCTACCATCGGGCACGGGAACTGGCCCAGGAGATCCTGCCCCAGGTGTGGTTGCAGCCCAGCACAGGAGGGAGGGCCTGTGCCATGGGGGAGGGAGGGGGGGTGCAACTGTGGGGAGGCCAGGGGGGTATGTCCCATGGGGCCACACAAGATCCACTTATCCAGACTTATATTTATTTTATTTATTTTTTTAAAGAGTTTATTTATTTGACAGAGAGAGACACAGCAAGAGAGGGAACACAAGCAGGGGGAGTGGGAGAGGGAGAAGCAGGCCTCCCGCTGAGCAGGGAGCCGGATGCGGGGCTTGATCCCAGGACCCTGGGACAGTGACCTGGGCCGAAGGCAGACGCTTAACGACTGAGCCACCCAGGCGCCCCCCAGACTTATATTTAAATTGAATTAAAAATTTAGTTTCTCCGGGCGCTTGGCTGGCTCAATCAGTAGAACACACGATTCTTGATCTTAGGTTTGAGATCAAGTCCCACACTGGTGTACAGATTACTTAAAAATAAAAAAAATTTAGTTTCTCAGTTACACTTCCCCATTTCAGATGCTAATGGCGACATGTGGCTAGTGCCTACTATATTGGACAGTACTGCAATAAAATGTCCCAAAAATTAAAAAAGCAAAATTCTAAAGCAGATAAAGAACAACCAGCTTATCTTTTCAGCCACACTGCAGGGTGGAGAAATTCCTGAAATGCATCATGTAAGACATGTGTTAGGACTCAGCCTACGTGTACCAGGACAGGATCTGGCTGATGGGGTCTTCAAGGACCTGGGAGCCTCTCACTGCTGGCTTCTTACTACTCTAAGAGGACCAAGAGGGATATCCCAAGTTTCCATATGAAAGCAGCTTGAAATGGAACTAGGTTTTATAATTTATAGTAAATACTGACTTAGCCATCAGACACAATCCTATGTACTTTAAAAGTCTCTGAATTACTAGTAGAGTCCAGCTGAGTTGATTATCCCTGTTGTATCTGTGATATAACAGACCCAGAAACATTAAGTGACTTGCTCAATCAAGGTCACAAAAAAGTGACTGCAATACCAGAAAAAGACAGTACTGGTATTTGGGCTTTTATTTTGCATAATACAAAATACAATATAAAAACTGGTATTCTAAAGAGTGCAGGGGGCGCCTGGGTGGCTTAGTCATTGGGCGTCTGCCTTCAGCTCGGGTCATGGTCCCGGGGTCCTGGGATTGAGCCCTGTATCGGGCTCCCTGCTTGGTGAGCCTGCTTCTCCCTCTCCCTCTGCTGCTCCCCCTGCTTGTGCTCTCTCTCTGTCAAATAAATGAGGAGAATCTTAAAAAAAAAAAAAAAGAACCACTGATGTATAGTACCCTTTTAAAAAAGAGTGCAGAATATTAAACTCAAACTAAATATCAAATGCATTTCCAACACAAAAAAATTAAACATGTTACAAAATAAAGATAAAAGCTTATAAAACTGTTAACTATATATTATTTTAATATTAACAGATGAAAGTATTTTAATTAATCACTAAAGTATTTTATTTCAGAAAAAAATCTGTCTCCCTTAAGTTTATATAATCCTTCTTGTTCTAACTTTGAGGTCTTCTCTGAGGGTAAAGATTCTAACTTTTAAAAATTAATAGTGAGTTCGGTCTAAAAGAAAGCATGTGTCTTTTCTTTTTTCTTCATCACATACAAATGGAATCTGATGCTGTTACCTAGACCATTTTAATGCTGTCAGGTTTCTGTTACACTTGAGCAAAAAGTCTCTGAACCAACACAAAACTCTTGAGTGACTCAAGGTAGCACATGGCTGACTGCACTTCCACAGGCGGGCGCGGAAGGGGGGCGGTGGCTATAGCAAGCAAGACTTGGGGACTGTGGGGTTTGTCTTTTTGCATGAACTGAATGCAAGAGGATTTAGATTTCAGATTTTTTAATATACTGAAGCAATGGTATCCTATTAATATAATTACTAGTATTTCAGTACTTAAAAGTAGCTTTGTATACCAAGACACCAGCTTACCAAAAATTAGTTGTACATTCACTAATCCCAATCTTTAATTCCTGGCAGAGTTATTGGGTGCCAAGAATGAGAGGGTTCCTGGATGGGGTGTTGGGGATGGTGTGGTAGTTAGCTGTTCTCTAGTGGATAAACCACCAAGACTAGGGAGCCAAATGGTATATATATATATATATCCACACACTCAGGAAAAAAATATTATATTTTCAACACATACACACATACCATATCTATATAGTTTTTACTTTTCTTTGGTGAGAAATCAGTTTATTAGGTAGTTACTTAAATAATAATGCATATTCATGACAAGCAAAACAAATAGAACAGAAGAATATAAGGGCATAAAGAAAAATCAAAAATAGGGTCGGGTGCCTGGGTGGCTCAGTTAAGCATCTGCCTTTAGCTCAGGTCATGATCCTAGGGTCCTGAGATTGAGTCCCACATTGGGTTCCCTGCTCTGCAGGGAGTCTGCTTCTCCCTCTGCTCCCTCCACCCCGGCTTGTGCTCATTCTCTCTCTCAAATAAATAAATTCTTAAAAAAAAAAAAAAGTAGGGTGACCCAGGTGACCTTGTCTTCCTAAGGCTGTCCCAGTTAAAAGTGAAAGTCCCACATCCTGATAACTCTCAGTTCCTGGCAAACCAGGATACGTGGTCACCAAAACAGCTCTCAATTCCCCAATCCCTCTCCCCAGAGATGACCACTGTTTTATTTTTTTTTTTTGAGATGACCACTGTCAACTTACACACTCTTCCAGAAATTTTCACTGTATATATAAGAATATATATTATGCACATATACTCACATATCTAAACAACTCTGAATTCCTTTTAAGATGGTTTGGGGGACAAGGAACACACCTTTAGAGGCTAATCCAGTTCTAAGAGACATTTGAAAAACATGAAATTAAAATACACATAGTAAAGAATTCAAACAGTTTGGAAAAGTATAAAACAAAAAGTGAAGTTCTCCATTCTCCTCTTCCCAAAGGCATGTCATGCCAACATCTTTTACACAAACGAGATAACAATATACATACTTAGTATGCACCTTCATTTTTTTCACCCAATATTTTGGAGTTTCCCATTTCAGCACATACTACCGACCTCATTCTTTTAAATAACTGCACACTTTTTCATTCACAGTACAGATGTGCCATCATTACTTAATCAGTACTCTAATAATGAACATTTATGTTGCTTTTTGCTACTGCAAAATAGCTGGAGTATATAACTAAACATCTTCATGTACTTCTAGAAGTACATCTATAAGGTAGATTCCTACACAGAATTACAGTATCAGGGTACATACATCCATATAATAACATTTGCCAGTTCTTGCCAAGTTGCCTTCAGAAGCACTGTACCAATTTACTCTATTAATAATGTATGCAAATACCTATTTCCTGAATCTCAGCAATAGTGGGCATTATCAACATTTTACGATTTACCTATTCTTAGGTGAAAGGGGGCACCTCATGGTTTTGAGCTACATTTCTTTAAGAGTAAAACTGAAAAAATCCTTATGCTTATATCCCCTTTTCTGTGAACTACCCTTGTGAATTATTTGTTAAAAAATTATGCCAGATCTTTGTAAATCAAGGACATTTGCTGGTCAGAAGTATCACAGGGTGCCTGGGGGCTCAGTTGTTGCTGAACGTTTGCCTTTGGCTTGGGTCATGATCCCAGGGTCCTGGGATCGAGCCCCGCATCGGGCTCCCTGCTCGGCAGGAAGCCTGCTTCTCCCTCTCCCACTCCCCCTGCTTGTGTTCCCTCTCTCGCTGTGTCTCTGTCAAATAAATAAATAAAATCTTAAAAAAAAAAAAGGCATCACAAATGTATCTTCTCAGTTTTTTACTTTTGTCTTTTATTCATGGCATTTTTCCCTACAGGAGGTCATTCATGTTCATGTAGCTAGCTTTTTCATTTATAGCTTCTATGTTAACAGACTTAAAAATCTTTTTTTCTGAGAAAGTTGTACTTACAAAAACCTCAAATAATACAATACAAGCAACAGAGTAAGTAAATGCAGTCTTTGCCAGGAAGTGAGGCTGGGCATGGAGTGCCAGGTCCTGTAGCGGCACAAGTTAATTAGAAGCAAGATCAGTGAAGCAAAGGTGGCCACTTTGATGCACTTGCTTCCAAGTGGCTGTGTAAAATGGCCCCTTGGGATCTCAACCCAGGCCGGTCAGACTCCACAAAGCCCAAGTTCCTAATCTTGACCTTTTGTTTACTCTGCTGGGATGAAACCTTCTTGCAGTGGAGGCTTTTCTATCTGCCAAGATGAGAGGGGTAGGGGAACAGAGCAACGGTGGGAAAGGTGTCCAAGTGTCACTCTTTGGACAAACATGGCCAAGTGCTTCACCTCCCTGAGCCTCAATTAAAGATGGCACCATCCTTGAAGGGTGGGTAGCACCATTAAACAAGTCTGTGGGTAGGAAAACACTTTGTAAATGGTAGCATGTTATACACATTGGTGGGCTGGATTAAACGACAAGAACCTCAGATAGTCAGAATTGGGAGGATCAGGGATCAGTCAGGCTTCCTTCATTATAGTTAAGAATGTCAATATGGTGGCTAACTGAACATTAAAAAAAAAAAAAGACTACCAACCAAGAAGTAGTAGGTACTAACACTAACAAAATCTAACAGTCAGTAGAATAGCTGGAACTTGACCCAGACCGATCTACCTGTCCATGACTCTTCCCCCACCACGAAGCTATGTCCCTCTCTTTATTCCAAACCCCCGTCCCCCGCCAACTATCAGCACTAATTCCCTCAACCAAGCCTTTTCTTTTTTCTTTTCCCTAGGCACCCATTGCTGTGCGGCTGGGCAAAGTAGCCATTGATAGAGGAATGGAGGTAAGCAGGTTCTGGGTCAGGACTTGGGTCCACTAAAGTCAGTGGGGGTGGCTAGGAGGCAGTGCTTTCATACCAATGCAGGCTAAAAGCACAGCTGGAAAAACTAAAAAACGGGACTCTTCTAACAGACATTGAGTATGACCTCTCTCTTTGTGCCTTAGTTTACCCACCCATGAAATGTAAAGTTTGGCCAGATGACATTCTGAATTACATTTTATTTTCATCTCTCTCTGTTAGAGAGAAGGTAATTGAGGTCCAGAAAGGGTAAATGACTTGTCTAGGGTCATAGAGTAAGTAATAAGAACGAAGCTCTGTGTGGCTCCCAGACCATGTTCTCGGGTTTGTGCTGGTGGTAAAGGTGACCTCAAGGACAGAGCTCAGGGTGGTGTCTTGGATGCAAACTAATCCATCCTTAGACAACTTACTCATCAATTCACTCGTTACACACTGAATCTAGACCTGAGCTGAGAACTGGGACACAGAGATCAGTTAAATACGGTCACTGTCACCAAGGTGGAGAGAGGACAGATACACACAGAATCACTAATACAAGGTTAAGGATACCAAGCAGGGATGCCTGGCTGGCTTGGTCAGTAGGGCGTGCAACTCTTAATCTTGGGGTCATGGGTTCGAACCCCACACTGGGTACAGAGGTTACTTAAAAAAAGGGAAGTATCAAGAGGATACCCTGGAAGGGTGAGAGCTATGATATCGATGTGGCTAGTAGCTACTACTGGGTAGTGTTGGGTTAGAGATGTTTTGTAGATTTGGGCCTTGGGAAGGATTAAGGTTTGAGAAAAAGAATGGTATGAGCAAAAGCACAGAAGTGTATAAACAAGCAACTTGACTGAATGGGAGTAAGGAATGAGTGAAACTACATAGCACAGAAGGTAGGGACAAAGGCTCTGGTGCTAGCCTGTCTGGGTTCAAAGACCTGCTTTTCCATATACTGTTGTGACCTTTACTTTCTATGCCTGATTTCTCAGCTGTATAGCAGGGATAATAACCCTCGCTGTAAAAGTAGATGAGTTCATACACACAAGGTACTTCTCTTAGAACAGGGCTTATAAGTGGTAGGAGCAGTAAACACTGGGCAGTAGAGGCTGGAAAGTTGCCAGAGGCCCGGCCATAGAAGCCTAGGACATTATTCCTCAGGGCAACGGAAAGCCTGTGAAGTTCCCTTACCAGGAGGGCCCGAGGCATGGAGAGGCGGCCGGATGTGAAGAGGGGCCACTGGCTGTGCAAGCAAAGCTCACACTTACCCTCCTCCTCAGCTCTCCAGGCCGAGTGCCATCCTCCCCGCTGTTTTCAAAGTTCCCCCACCCCTTTGTCCCAACATTGTTTTATCACTGTTACAAACGGTGTTAAACCTCTCCAGGTGGGAATTGCCTTATCATAATCATCTCTGTCCAGATGGACTAGCATACAGTAAGCCTCAGTAATACTGCACCAGACGAATCCATGAACAGTAGGGAATGGGGGTATAGGCAGTAGGGTGGGCTGGCACCCAGTGCAGACGGAGGTGGCTTAAGGTCAGGCTGATCAAGGCACCACTTCTTTTTCACAGGTGGACATCTCATCAGGGATGGCCATTGAAGGAATATGCTATGCCCAGGTATGTGACCGCTGCCAGTCCGCGCACACTTCCAAGCAGAGGCCAGGCCAAAGTGGGAAGCCTTGTGCCATACATAACCAATTTAGTAGGTTCCTCCTAACCTGAAGAGTTAGACTCTGGACCACTCCCTCTTAGAATTAGCCTGGGGCAGTCCTAGGGAAACCACACTGCTTCTCTCTGGGACTGTTTCCTCAGCCATCTAATAGTGGTACATCCTGCCACACTAGGTGCACACAGACTCACAGAGCACACAGGTAGGTACTTGACAAAGCACCACTTCTACTCTCTGTACCAGTGGCTGCTGTAGAGGCCAGGCTGGAGTTGGGATGTCACGGCCTTGGTTATAGCCTGCAGGCTGTGTGTTCAATGAGGGTGAGGGGGCGAAGGAGGGGGAAGGAGGGGTGGGGGTGGGGGTGACCTGGGGCTGACTTATTTAGCCCTGGACTCCTGGGTGAGTCAAAAATACTAATCTCTAGAGTTTAACAAATATCCACAGTACTCTTAAACAAGGAGTCCTGGAACTTGCAGAACCTGGTGTGAACTAACTACACACCAGACTCAAAGCCAGATTTCTTACTGCAAAACTTAACTGTTTTTCTCTACTAAGCAGCCGCCTATCAGACTGCTGCAGACTATCATCTCTCTGGAGGCATGTAGCAGTGTGCAGGAGGCTAATGTGATAGGCCACGGAAGCTAGAGATGTGGCCTGCCTTCCCCAGGAAACCAAGGAGGCACTGAGGCCCATACCTCTGCCTGGCCCATTACCAGAGTCAAGAGACAATGGAAAGACGTGGACTCTGACCTTGTCAGGGGGTAGACAAGTTTGAGCAAGTCTTTATTGGCCTCTGGCCCTGCAGCTCCCCGCAAAATTAATACTCTGTCTTGTTGTTTCAGAACATCCCCACTCAGGACCGCCTAGAGGGCATGGCAGCCTTCAGGGAGAAGCGGCCCCCCAGATTTGTTGGCAAGTGACTCCCATTTAACTATAAGCATGGGAGAAGCCTGCCTTCCAGGGCAGGATCCAAAAGGAAAATTTGCAGGGTGACTGTTCATCATTTCACCTCTCTGGGCTTTAGTCTCCTCACAATGACAAGGACAGATATAAAACTGGAATGGTGTTTGATACCAAGGTCCTGCCCATGCCACCTACAGCTATATTCATAATTCCTCATCCTGGCTAGATAATCACTGGGGTCAAGTTGGCTTTGGAGAATATGTCTCTCCCTACTCAAATGGTAAACTAAGGATTAAAACAGACCATCTGGGCCTTTGTATTATTGGCTCTCAGGCCTGACCTCTGCCTCTCAGTTATCGGGTGCTCACCAGAGATGGCAAAAGGTTGTAAGAACCCTCCAGTTTCTTCCTCTGTACAACAGAGATAACACAGAAACCCTGGTAGTGGCTGAACAGGCATCAGGAATCAGACTGCAGATCCCAGCTCTCTGCCATTCATTGTGTGCCTCAGCTTCCTCATCTGCAAAATGAAACTGCTGTGAGGATTAAAAAAAAAGCCTACGCCTCATGTTCAATAAACCTGAGTTATGATTAATGTACAGTGTTTTTAATAGAACCAAATGAAATTATCACTGAGAAAACTTTTTGTGAACTCTATAGGGTGGCAGGCAATCTTCGATAGCTGAAGTACATAGCCCTCAGGAGCACTGAGAAGGGAGCATTAAGTCTGAAGGAGAGAACAAAGGAAATGGGCAGGTAACACTGGAGTGAAGTCTGAGGTTCAACAGACATTTGTGGCAAGGAGAAGAGGGCTGAGGGGGAACAGCAAGAGTGAAGGCTAGCAAGAGGACGACACACTTAGAAATGATGGGGCCTGATAAATACATATGCACACTAGCTAGCCCTCCTCCTGGACCAAGGTAGAGAAGGCTGCATCTTACGCTGCGGCCTTATGGCTATTCTTTGATTCATCTGAGCTTCCCGGGCCTAGGCCTGACCTAGAGACACTAAGTGAAGGGCACAGATATATACTCCCTCCCCCGCATTGTTGATATGCTGCTAAATATAAGTGTGCCCAAGGCTGGGTGCTCTTTTCCTGGAAGGAAGAGTAAGAGAAAAGTCCAGGCCATAAAACCAGAACCAACCATATTAGCTGGAACTATGCATTAGCTGTAACTACTCTGGAAAGTAACTGAACGTCCTTTTTCTCATCTGTTAAATGAGGAGAATACAACTTATCTATCCCAGAGGACTGTTGTGAATGAAATGAAACTTGGAGGGGTGCCTCAGCAGGCACCAGTTCCTACCACATTCTCACAGTAGCACAAGCTAGTATCTGGTAACAGAATGTTCTAAAGTACTAGAACCCAGGTCAGGAAATGAAGACAGCCATTTGGAATTATGCAGAACCCTGAATAAGAGAAAATATGGTGCAGTTTCAGAACTGTAGAAGGAAACAGGTTACAAATGCCCTTTATCCAGTGGGACACTGGTGAGCAAGAATCTGGAATATGATTCAGAGTAAGGATAAGCCTCATTTGATTCCAAAAGATGGTATACAGTACTCCAGTTAAGAGTCTGGCCAGCTAAAAGCACAAGTATCTAGTATGAAAATATGCTACTCATCAAAAAGGAATTTACTTTTGTTCTTTGGACAGATAAATGGCAAGACACATTTTGTTAGCTGTCAGTAATAAGGAAGGAATTGATACTCTGTTCCACAGAGGAGGTTTGCAAAGGACACAAACAGAAGCTTCTGCTACTGTATACTGCAGTTGAGGTTGGTTCTCAAAAGCCCCTATTTTTCTTGCCTCCTAGTCTAGGCAAAAGCACTCTTGAAATCTATAGTAAAGTCTTTTTTCTGGCTTCCTCCTCCTCCTGGGTTGGTCACAGTCCCACTAAAATCAAAACCTTACAGGATCAAGATTCATAGTCCCTATACAATCTTCATCTAAACACGCTACTTGAAGTCCTAAATGCTACTATTTTCCACCACCACACCCACTTACATGCTATGTTCACTCAGTCTAATGTGTAAAGTTGGAGGAAGAAAGGCCAGAGGCAGATATCCAAAATTGTAAAAAAAAAAAAAAAAAAGGTTATTTTTCTTCCCTCTACCCCCACAAGTGGAAGATACTTCGATATTTGTTTTAAAAAAATTCCCCCCACCTTGTTCCTCCCCTCCAGTGGAGATTCTGCCTCCCAATAAGCATGTATTTCCCAGAACTTTTTCACGTACTTTTCTATTAGCTTCACATAACTAGGAGTAACAACTCAGGATATTCTTTCAAACATGAAATTTAACACAAATACGAAGGTCTCCCGTTGGTCTTTCTTTCCCCTTCGTCTGACAAACCCCCCCAGTTAAGAAACCGGCCAGGGTTAGGAAAAGTAATTGGCAGGGCTGTTGAAACACAAGCTCACAGACCTTCCCACAGAGTCCGAGACTTGATTTTGCAAAACTTTTTTTTTTTTTTGATTTTGCAAAACTATTGAAGGGGTGCTCTCAGAATGATTCCAACTTGATTTGGGATTATGGCTACCATTCAAATCCAACTTTTTTGTAGCCTACAGAAAATCAACAATAAGAGGCCAGTGTGGCGACCAACTCACAAACTCCAATGACAACTGGTTTCAACATTCAATTACTGGCAAGGCAGAAGTCCTGACACTGAGAACAGAGAGCACCTCTGAAGCCCCAGAGGTTAAGAAGGGCATTCAACACAGAAGGGGTCTCTGATAGTTCATGAAATGCATTCTGAAGTCATCTAGAATGGAGGCTGCAATCTGCTGTGCTTGGGGGTCTGCCTCACTGTGCTTCTGGATGTCACACAAAAGCTGCAATCCTTCTTCTTCAACTAACATTTTGCAGTATTTGCTGGCTGAAAGAAAATCAAACAAAGAAACTTGGTGGACAAATTGGCATTTTAAATATTCCCAAGTCACCACATTCACTTTTTTGAAGAAAGGGTACCAAGGTTTAAGCCCCCTGACATGAGAATTAACAGATAAAATTAGTCAATTCAAAAGAAATATGTCAAAACTTAATGCTTGACTTGTGTAGTGCGATAACAAATGATTATTTTAGTATGTTTACTTCCAGACAACTCTAAGCTTCAAAATTTCTAATCCTAGCTAAAAGAATAAGAACTTCTTTTATTATATATATAATAAACATTTCAAGGTCAGGCATTATGTTGAGCTAGATAACCTGAAAACACCAGATGCTGGATAAAAATGTAACAAAAATTTAAATGCATATTCATGTGTACAAAGTAAAGGATTTGTCCAGGAGCCAGATACAAAGAGCAGAGAGCACCTAAATTCATATAACTACCTAGAGTTATTCTGGGGCAGAAAGGGACTGTGAGTTTCAGTAATCCAAGAATTTAGGTTTTAACTTACGAAGTTAGAAGCAATATATATATAATAAAATATATATCAGTGCATAAAGCTGGTCCCTCAAAGGACTATACAGGAGAAGGGATAAGACAATGAAATATCTTTAAGATTGGTCTGGGCTCTAGGTGGGTACACAGGAGTGGGCTGGACAAGTCTTTCCCAAGAATTCCTAACCACAGTACTGAGTTGGTATAGGATTTGAATTTATCCTACACCTAAATGTTCTGGGAACCCTTGAGCTGAGAAGTTAACATAAAAATTAGTTCAATCCCAGAGAAACCTCTAGAGCACCTGACAGAAGCAAATACAAAATTGCTGAAGGAACATGTCTACAACGCAGCCTAGAAAAGATTCTCTTAATCAGTCCAAAAGCCAATCAGACACAGAGAGATATAATGATCTAAAAACACTGCAGTTACCAAGAATGTAGCACAAAGAAACAGACATGGAAATTGTTCTTTTAAACATTTTTAAAAAATATTTTATTTATTTTTGAGAGAGAGAGAGTGAGCGAGAGTAAGGAAGGGGGGAGGGACAGGGACAAGCTGGCCCCACGCCCTGCACGGAGCCCCATGTGAGGCTCAATCCCACAACCCTGAGATTACTACCTGAGCGGAAATCAAGAGTCAGACATTCAACCAACTGAGCCACCCAGGCATCCCTGAAATTATTTTTTTTAAAGATTTTATTTATTTATTTGAGAGAGAGAGAATGAGAGCACGAGAGGGAAGAGGGTCAGAGGGAGAAGCAGGCCCCCCGCCGAGCAGGGAGCCCGATGCAGGACTCAGTCCCAGGACTCCAGGATCATGACCTGAGCCGAAGGCAGTTGCTTAACCAACTGAGCCACCCAGACGCCCACCCTGAAATTATTTTTTAAGTCTACAGGATGTGTAGGATAAAGTGAGAGAAGATACAAGATACTTCTGATAGACATTCCATAAGGAAAGTATAGGGAAAGGGTAATATTTTTAAATAGCTGAGAATTTTCATCAATTTTGAAAAGTCTGTGACCTGAAATCCAGAGGCCATATAACAAAAGGCTGACTAAACACAATGAACAAAGTCAAGACGATAAACTGGGAAAAAATATTTGCAAGAGTTCCTTCAAATTAAAAAGAGAAAGACCAACAAACAACAGATAAAAGGTGAATAAAGAATATCAATAGACAATTCAAGGGAAGAAAAGGACTTTTCAATATAAGATGGTTAACTGCATTTAAAATGTCAAGTGAGACTATCACTTTCACCTTAGATTGGCAAAGATCAAAAAGTTCAATTAAACATTGTTGTACGAATGTAAGGCGACTGGCAAGCTCTCATACATTGCTGGCAGGAATGAAAATTGGTAATCAATTCTCTGGAAAACAGTTTAGCAATAACTATCAAAATTATAAGTGTTCCTAACATTTTGACTCAGCAATTCTACATATTCTGCAGATGAACTCACACACATGCAAAATGATATATTTTATTTAATAAATGCTATGTACTCTGTGTGAACTAATACTATGCTATGTACAAATGCTAATACTATGAGCCAAGCAGTGTTTTAAATGCTTAAATATTAACCCACTTAATTCTCATAACAGCCCTATGAAGTAAGTATTATTTTATAGATAAGGAAACTGGGACACAGTGAGGTCAAGTAACTTGCTCAAGTTCCCACAGTTAGTAAATGGCAGAAACTGGGAACAGAGAGGATAGTCTGGTTCTAGCATCTGTCCTCCTAATTACCCACATGTGCATCTTCACCTGATATAGTGTGTAAATGTCTATTCATTGTATATGAATATGTTAATATTCACTAAAGTAGTCCTTACAATAGAAAAGACTAGAAACAGAAACAATGTCCATCTAAAGCAAACTGGATCCATATAATGAAGAAATACTAAGCAGTTTAATTCATAGTCGTCATCTGGAGTTCTGCCAGTTGCTAGCTATTTTAACTCTGGGCAAGTTACATAAGTTCTCTGTGCCTTGTTTTCTCATCTGTAACAGACGGATAATAATAATGATGATAATAATAATGATGATAATAATAATAATAATAATGCTACCCTCTTCTAGTTGTTGTGAAGATTAAATGAGTTAACTCATAAAGAGCTTGCAATACTGCCTGGCACAGAGAAAGTACTCAACTAAGTTCTAGTTGTTATAGTTATTGCTATATACTAAAGTC